ATGGGAGATTGAATGTTGTATTAATATGTATAATAGGTTTGATTATGATTTTATTGATCCTGCATATGTCTTTCGGCAAAGAAAACTAATTTTAGATGGTCAGAGGGTGGATCTTTGGCTTTTATAAATCACCAAAATCCCACTGAAGTCAACAGAGCATAGTTACCGTACCCCAATTACCTGGTTTTACAAAGCCCGAAGTACTTCCCCCTCACTGAATTTGCATGGAAGACGGCATAACCTCCTCTTTTTCTTTTTCTTTTTTTTTTTTTGTTTCCTATTTTGGGACCAAGATAATGGGGATAAACCTAGAGCATTTCTGCTCTCTTGCGTTTCTCAGTGTTTCAGATTGAGTACCTGGCAGGCTCACACAACAAAATGTTATCCTTTCAGTGGTATAATAAATGTTCAGTTAGACACAAAATATGGACACATCAGATATTTTATTCTTGATCTACAGCATCTTCATGAACCGTACAAGGAGCACTTCAATGATTTGAAAGATAGACTAGGTTAAGCAATAAGTAATTTTGTGTTAAGTTTAATTTTCTGATTGAATTAATTTTGCCTCTAAAAGTTCCAGGGTCCTGCTTACTCCATGGAGACAGGCACCTTCTATCTTATGTACCTGATTCAGAAAGAATCATGTTTGGGAATGCTGCTCACTCTCTCCTTTGACTAAGTAGGAAGCTTAGATGACTGCTAGACCTGTCACCCTAGCTTTAACTAGAGTTAAATAAGTTGACAACTCCTTGAGCTGTGAAAACATTTAGGAAGAAATAATGTCTTACTGTGGCTTTCTCAGGAGGTTTAACCAGAAAAATACTATTTTTGTCCTTGCTTAGAGTTTCAGCAGGAAATGGAACCGAAGCTTAACTGTCCGAAGAGGCTACGACTCCACATCAAGCAAGACCCTTGGAACCTCCCCAGCAGCGTCCGGAGTCTTGCCCAGAATATCAGAAAATTTGTTGAAGGTTAGTAAGAACAACATGACCATAAATAAACACTTCATTAACGATAGAGAGCCTGGAGAAGGGAAAGGTACAACTGCTTCGTGCTGCTGCTGGGCAAGGTTTGCTGAACACAGTGTAGTCTATGGGAAATGCCTGAATTTCAGGACTTTTTTGTGTTCTTGGTAACAAGGTTAGTGGAGTATATCTCAGCTGTATCGTGCTCATCCTCTTGGCTTCAGATACTGAAGAGAAAATCGTCTCTTCTGACAAGTGAAAACAAATGAACCATATGTTGCATGTGCTACGTTATTTCAGTTGCTGCTGAAGTCCAGTGGGCTTGGCTGATTTGTCACAGAACTCCATGGGACTGATACACCAAAACGGAGCTTTCCTTGAAATTGAACTCCCTTTTTTCTACCCTCTTAAATGGAAGGATGAAGACTCTGCAGGACAACTTTTGTCCTATATCTTGCTCTTATCTGTCATTGATCTGGAATCATTATCCCTCTAAAATCATGTTCCCTCTTCTGCCATGAAGCCAAATGTCTTCCACTGGTTTTCACTTACTCACTCCATCACAACTGATCCTATCACTCCTCCTCCTCCACCTCTCTCCCTCCCACCACTGTCTAAAAGTTACCTAGTACTCTGCTCCTCTTCACCACCAAGTGACAATGTGAGCTGGTGTTTTCTGCTCTCTCCTGTGGCTTCATAAGAAAGTAACTGCGATTTCCTCTCCAGAAAATCTTGCCTGCATCTTCTGCTTTATTTCCTGTGCTGTTTGATAGAGAAACAGAAATAATAAGCAAAATGATTTTTATAAAACTGCTTGCACTAGGAGTCTATGTGGGAACAAAAACTTGTGTCAGGTCTAGCTTTAAATGATTTGTGTGTGTGTTTAGCTTCTTTTGTTTTCTTGGCTAATTTCCATGGTCTCCCATAAAGAAACTGCTAAATTTCAGATCACTGGAAAAGAACTCTGTGATAAGTTTTATTAAGATAAACCTCCAAAAACCAATCTAAGCAAAATGATTTTTATAAAACTGCTTGCACTAGGAGTATATGTGGGAACAAAAACTTGTGTCAGGTCTAGCTTTAAATGATTTGTGTGTGTTTAGCTTCTTTTGTTTTCTTGGCTAATTTCCATGGTCTCCCATAAAGAAACTGCTAAATTCAGATCACTGGGAAAAGAACTCTGTGATAAGTTTTATTAAGATAAACCTCCAAAAACCAATCAGCCAAACCAAACAATCTCCTCCTCCTCTGACTTTTGGTATTTCTCATTTCAGATACGATCATATTTTCAGACCCTGGGTTAGAAAATTATAAAAGCAACTACAAAAATAACTCCTATTTTTGGAGTCAATCACAGTGGGTTGACTCTCCAATACTAAGAATACTTCTTTTAGTTTAATGGTGGCTGTCACTGAGTGAAAAATGAATAAATATTTTTGGATCCTTTTTTCTACAGGTCTGTCTTCAGCCTAAACCAAATTATATTCAAGTATTAATCATGGTTTCTTTCACAGTTCAGAAAGAATGGAAATGTATCTTTAACAGTCCTTCATTGCCCCCCTTCTGAAGCCAAGCCTAACAGACCATTTTCACATAACTTGTTTGCCCATAAATAGGATTAATAGACTTAACCCATTTCAACAATAGTCGTATACCCTCAATATTGAGCTGAGGTTATTCAGATAAATTTGGTTTTAAATCTACCACAAAATTTTGTGGGAGAGTTCAGCAAGGTCCAAATTACTTGCTCTATAATACAAAACTTCTCTTTTTACAATACCGCTATAATGTAATGGTGATATTTATCAGAAGGAATCTTGATGTTTACAGAACAATAAAACTGTTGGCATTTTCTAGTCCTTTAGAAACTAGGGTTAAAAAAGGTTTTCTCTGTCAATAAATTATAGTAACTAACATTATTGCAACTGTCACGCTTGTGAATGGTGCGTGGTTCAGAGAGCTAAATAGTAAAAGGCATTATTCTTGTGCTGTTCAAGGAGAGCACACACTCTGCCTTACCTTCTCTCATCACTGTGTCTCAGAAGTTGTCTGCCAATTTTAAATATTCTTGGCTCTCCCTTTCCATCCATGGCATCTGAGCTTTTGTCAGAGATTTCCAACAACTGGCTTCTGTGTCATCTTCTTAACCAAATACATGGGTTTACATGTAAAGTTACCATCTTAGGTTGTTTATTCACAATCAGTCTTTATATCTTTCTATTCTCTTGTAGTTTTTTTTCTTTAAGTTGACTCCTATTCCACCACCCCCGCCCCCCGAACTGGTATCAGTAATACTTGTTCCTGAGAAGTACTCAGGAGAATCATGATCTACATCTTTGTCATGATTTTGATCGGCCTTTGGGACCAAGGAGTTGGTGTGGTGTAATGGATACCTGAAAGCCTAGGTTCTTCTGGCTTCCCTGGCACAAATAGCATGAAGGAGAAATAGGAGAATGGAAGTGAATAATTGCTTCTCGAGCCTTAGTTTCCAAGGCATGTCTGGACAGGTATATGTAATTCAGTGTTGAAAAGATTCAGGGCAGAAATGTGCCCCTGAGGCAGTTTTGGGAGACTGCTGTGATTTATACAGGCTTAGGCCTGTATAAATTAAACTTGAGACACAACCAGCAGCTGCATTAACTGAAATCAGATGAGCACGAAGCAGGGTTAAAAACGCTTCAGCAGCTAGATTTTCCCTTCATATCTTCATTTCTTGTTTTCTCCTTTCCAATCTTGCCATTATGTATTGTGTTCACAAATGGTCGGGATACCTAGAAAGAACCACTAGTACTGCCCTGAGCTATTTCTGGCTGAAAACCTAACACGTGGTACAGAGATTTACCTCCCTGTTTTCCCTCTTACACGCCTGATTCAGAAAAAACAAAAGAAGTCCCCTGATTGGACTGCTTAGTTGGGCTTATGAGAACAAGTTGAACGAAGTCTTGGGATTTTAGAAGAATCTTCATGTTTGTTTATAAGTAAAAGGTGGTATTTTAATAATTGAGGAAAGCAGATATATTTGTCTCTTCTAGCAGGTTCTAGAGGAAGTTGTCAAAAGAGACCACAGATACAACTTTGTTCGCCATGGGGAAAAAATTGTAATTAAAACCTCCGATTGTTATAAACGTACTTAACCATTATTGATGAATGCTAAAGTAAGGATGAATGCTTTCAGTAAATACATCTCCTTATTGAAAACAGACTCATTTTTGTTTTCTTAAAAATATCACAAGCTATTGTAATTTTTTACTCAGTGTTTTGTTGCATTGTAGAATATGTTATATTAGATTAGACTGATTAGTGCTTTAAAGCAGGAGACATGGGAGCCCCACAGAAATGTTTTAAGTCCTAGGTCTTAGGATTCTTTTTATTTACTAAATACATCTCCTTATTGAAAACAGACTCATTTTTGTTTTCTTAAAAATATCACAAGCTATTGTAATTTTTTACTCAGTGTTTTGTTGCATTGTAGAATATGTTATATTAGATTAGACTGATTAGTGCTTTAAAGCAGGAGACATGGGAGCCCCACAGAAATGTTTTAAGTCCTAGGTCTTAGGATTCTTTTTATTTACTTTGTTTAATTAGTATGAAGAAATGGGAAAACTCAGAATGCCTTGAGGATGATCATTCTGGTATGTCAGTTTTCTTTTTATTAGTATTGGAATTGGGAGAACAATTTTTAAAAGAATCTATGAAGGCTTGCACAGATTAAAAAAACCAGAAAAAAACAACCAAACCTTCCTTGACAATACATTTAAAACATGTGGAGATTGCTTTGTCTCATTTAGAGACAAATATCATTAGAGAAAGAAAAGTTTTCTGTGGTTACAGTAAAAGGCAGCCCTAGAAGGCTAATCAAGTTGATAGAATTGAAGAGTTCTCTGAAGTAGTATACAGATTCTAGGAGGATTTATCTGGAGCTAAGTAGCTAAAGAAAAGATGAAAGTTATTTCTTGGAGTGACTGGGCCTACTAAATTGTTAAACCAGTAAAGATAAAGATAAGTTGTTGGCACGGGCAGATCTTTGAAGATGGAGTGCTTGATTTTGGTGCAGGGGAGAGTAGTAATCAGGGCAGGAATTCAACGGTCACTGAACAGGGAAAGAATAATGTAGGTACAGGATTCTGGATGTACGTGAGATATGTAACATGAGAATTGGAAAGCACAAGAGGATGCACTTGCACACAAAGCTGAGGGATGACTCAAGTAGGAACCAGGAAAATCAACAAGATGGATGGAAAGAAAGGGACCCTTCAAAAGGAAAATAAAACCAAAACTGGCCAGCGTAACAACAGAAAGGTGTAAAGAGAACAAAGAGGAGGAGCAATTTCTGTAGTTGCTTTTTCCCAAAGGAAAAAAAAAGGCAGGATTTTTGGTCAAAAGAAGAGATGTTTTAGAGCAAATCAGATTTCTAGTCAGCTAGTCACATAACTGCATGAGGAAGTGCGTTGTTTTGCTAGCACAATTATTTTAAGTTTAAACAGGAAATACTATGCAATTGAGAAAGTTCACATCTATTTTAATTTAAATTAGGAGTGAGGAGTGAAGGAGGCTTTCAGTCATTAAAGGTATCAAAAATGTATTTCAACTTAAATCATAAAACATGCAGTGCAAATCTCAGTCTTATTTCAAAAATATTTTCAGATGTGAGAAACAAAATAAAACTAAAATCTAGCCTTTACTAGCAAAGATCAGAATAGCATGATAAAAAAAAAAAAGTACAAAAGAATGTTTAAGAACAAAAGAAGTTGAAGGTATCTTGCATTACGAATCATATTATCTAGAGAGAAATTGCTAGGGAGTTATTCCTTTCCATATGCCATGTAGCAAGAAGGGGTGAAAACTTCCATAGCATTTGGAATTTGTTAAAAGCAAATGGTTGACATCCCAGGTTCACTTCTAACCCCAGGTAAGTCTCTACTTATACAAATAACCTATAAATACTCTCGTTCCTGCGGGTATATTTTGAAATGGAGAAGACTTATAGCAATGATAAAAGAGAGTTGCAGCGTCCTGTAATTTTCCCGTAAGCAGAAAATCATCATTTATAGATACCGCAAATGCTTTTGAATTCAGAGATCCAACAACTCTCATATAAAACAAGCTGCAAGTAATAGCCTCAATGTATCTAAATTCTTCATATAAAAGCTATATTTCCCTATATTGTATTTTCAGTTACTAAGCTACGTTCAGACTCCAAGATGCCAAGTTATTAATCTCTGTAAGTTTTTTTTTTTCAAAAGACAGAAGGCTAAGGCAAAGGCCTGTCACCAGGCAATTTTTGAGAATAACCCGTAATTTTGAGTGGTTCGATGACTGTATTTGAGATACCATGGGCACGCATTTCAGAAGCGTAGACCTGCCAGTTCTTTTTGCAATGCGTATACAGCACGGATGAAGATCAGGCTTGAAAGGTTTTCTTCTTTTTTAAGCATAGTCACCTTTGGGGAAGATTCTGGCTTTTCATGGGTATGTTCAAGTACACACAGAATCCAGACTGTGCTGTTGATACAGTCAACTCCAGTGTCAGTTCTGTCATCGGAGTTGTATTCAAATTTCAAACGATTCAAATTTCAAACCTATTAGGTTAGTTTTAGTAGGGGGCAACATATTCCCAAATTGTCCTATTGTCCATATACCCCACAGCAGCTCTGCTGGTCCGCTGAGCAGGGCTTGGAATAGGACTGCATAGAAAATTGGGTGTGTCAAAGAAAGTTTGGAAAGATGCAAAAGCATGTGAAGTAGCGGTGTGTTCCTACAGGCAGTTACTGTAGGACGCCTGATGTGCTGGAAGTTTGACGCTCTCTAAGGTTATGGCAGCTTTTTAATCTGCCTGTTCCTTGCAGTGGTGGTTAACACATTTAAATTTGTGCTCTGGTACAGGGTACCAGAGGGGTAGAGGGGAAGAATCACTTCATTCAGCCTGCAGACTTTGAGAAACCCCCCCCCCCCCGCCTCCAAAAAACCTGAAAAAAACCTCCCAGTGTAAAGAGACATAAAACTAAATTTTTTTCAGTGTAAATTAAGACTTTTTTTTAATCTGTACTTTTTTACTTCATAGATTGTTAAGTGAAAAGAAATGTTTGAAGCAAAATAAAATCCTGAAGGCTGAGAATAAAGTGAAAAATGCTGTTGTATTTTTCCTGGATGCTTTGGTATGCATTGAAATGAGGATAATTTGAGATTTTTTGAAACGAGAGAGGGGAAAAGAAAAAAGAGAGAATTGGGGTAGTGTGGGAATCAGTGAAAACTGGTCTTGTTTTTTGACGTTTTAAGACTGGAATTCTTCATATGTGGACTTGCACTGGCCAGCTGGTACACATGTACTCTGAGATAGCAGCTGCCTCTTCATGTGTCTTTCTCAGTGTTGGTGCTTTTGTTTATTATCAATTTTATCAAGTCATTTGTAAAATTAAGTGAAGTTGAGACTCATTACTGTTTTGTAGGTATAAATCAGGATTGCCTACACAAGAAGTTGGAGTTAAGCTGGTATAAAATGAGAAACTGTAAATGCATTATTATGTTGGTGAAAACACTTTTAACCATGACCTGAATATATTTTCTTTTTTCTTTAAGAGGTGAAGGCACGAATACTCTTGGCACTTCTTGAGTATACAGGTAATTTTGCTTGTTTTGGGAGTAGGGGAAGTGAGTGTGGATGGTTTGAGATTTTTTTTTTTTTGCTTTTGGACAGAATACTGTGTTTAGAGAAAGGGGAAAAATCTCAGATACGATAACCTGATAATCAACAACTTTACTCCTGTGTTTCCAGTGAGGATTCCTGAAGAACACAACAATTCCAAAGACATTTCTAACAAACATTGCACTCTTTTTTTTTTTTAATGCAAAATACCTTCTCTGGTCATTTACTTCGGATCTTGGCAGATGAAGTAACTACTGAATCACTGAGTTTGTGCACAGTACTTCTGCTGTCTTTCTTCTTTTGGGCTTTTTTCTGCTTGCTATCTTTTTTCTTTTTTCTCCATTCTCATCTATTTCCAATCTTACTGTACTATTCTAACCCATACCGTTCCTTTTATCTTTCTTTAGAGAATACCTTTTTTTTAAGTCCCTTCTTTTTGGAAGGGGTCTGATTATTCTGTGTATTATTCTACCATCACCCCATACAGTATACAGCTTCAAATACACAAAATAGGCATGTGTGTCTACAAAATAAATGTCAGTAAGTCAGTATTTAGAAAATAATAGCTATGGCAGAAGATTCTCTACAATTTGTAGGTGCATAAACATTCAAGTAAGCAGCCACATTTGACTGTAAAAGCTGATTATTTTAACCAACTTGCAGCACTATATGAATGCATTATTATTTCATGATTTTGTTATGACACATAACACAGCTTTATAAAGGGGAATATAACATTTCTTTGTTGTCAGATTTCTTCCAGATATTATAAAAGTTTATAGTAATTCCTCAGGTATTTTAAAATAAGAAGTGACCCGAGAAAATACCCCAGACTTGATTTTTTTAAAGCAGTTTTCCCTATTTACATGGTTTCATAAGTTCGTAAATTCTGTAGTCCATTTTGTATAAAAATCTTCTTGTAAAAAGAGCCCAAAGTGCTCTTGTATGCAGTATCTGATACAAGTAGCATTAAATGAGATTTGGAAATGAGGTGTTGGAGACACAAGAGGGCTGCTTCAGAAGCAGGCAGTACAGAGGAAGGCACTGGAAGTCAGCTGTTTTTAAGACAAACAGAGATAAAATCAAGCAAAGCAAGGAGAGAGAATGTGTGTTGGGCTCAAATCCCTGGGCGCCGCTGTGACATTGGAAAGTTTTTGACCATGGAAAAGCCAGTGGGATTTTTGAAGCTTGAGATGAGTGGAGTTTTTAAAGATGAAAATTCTGTCTGTACTGGATTCTGCACAACTTGAGAGAGTTGGGGGGCAGGGGAGGAGAGGTTAATTTTAATAATCATAACAAAAAGCAATGAGTCCCAGTGCAGAAGCAGTAGTGATTAGACCATTTGTGGAAAACATTCCTGAGGTCCTGAGAGGCTGCAAATGGAATCAAAATGATAGTAAAAGAGTGGTCACTATTATCAGTAGTTGAGGAAAAGATTGAAGAAGATCTCAGAAGGAAAACAGACAGCATGGAGTTACTTTGAGAAATACATGGAGTCCAAGAAAAGCATATTTTTAAAGTCAGTATTAATTTTGTGAGTACAGAATTATTTCTGCTGACTTATCCAGTCATCTAAAGTCTTGCCAGCTCCGTAGAGAAGGTGGAAAAGGAGCTAAGCCTCGTAGAGGCAGAGGAATCTAAAAGTGAGGACAAAGATTTTAGGCTTTGGAAAGACCTCGATATCACCTAATCTTCTTCTCTTGCCCTGAGAAAGATTAAGTCTACTTGTACTGTTTGTGATTGATGTTTGCCTAACAGCTCATAATGATAAAAATACTTGAAGGCCTTCAGAAAGGAGAAGAAGGAAGCACTGAATATTTATCACCACAGTTTCGTGCTTTATTGAGAACATGTTTCCCTTTCTAACTCTTTTGACCTTTAGCTAATCTAATGCCTGTGCCCTCCAGAATAAATTGGTAGGTTAGCTAGTCCCAAATTTAAATCAACTGCTAATGGTTCCATAGACTTCTACCTAGGGACCTGTCCTGGACTCCCCTGACACCATAAATCTCTGCTGCTTCCTGGATACGTGATGCTGCTCTGTGCTTATTTTATAGGTTTCATATTCATATAGATATTGTATTTGGATAGATTGTGTTCTGGTAGCAACACTCCTATATGCCCTGTCTGCACTTCACAGCAGGCAGTCTTCATCTGCCCTACCCAGCTGGTAGCTGTGGAGTTGACCAGATGATGCAGTCATATTAAGAGCTTCTGACTATCCTTGCTTTCTTGTGGAAAGTAAATGTTTTTGTGCCCAGCTGGTTCTCACATTGCAGCAAAGAGATCTGGCTCACATCTGTCACCTTGTAACATCAAAAGTACATAGAATTGATGGCATGTACATTAAAATCTACAAGATAAACATATATTGTTTATGAAGAACTACCTTAAATTCCAGATTTTAAATAAATTTATATATAATTTTTGAATTATAAAATAATCTTTTAAAGTGGAAGATGGCAGTTTTGGTCGTGGAGTGCTATTTACTGGGAATAACATTAGGCTGTAAATTTGTGATTTACTTTACATTAAAATGACTTGTTTTTTAGACAAAGAAAAAAATTCCAGCCCAGTTCCTTTGCTGTTAATTAATCTGCTGCTCCATTTTTCCTTTTCCTCTTTTGGCTTTTACCTATCACAGATAGTGAGATACAACTGAGGCGAGACATGGTCTTCTGTCAGAGCCTAGTGGCCACAGTCTGCGCTTTTTCAGAGCAACTAATGGTGGCCTTAAATCAGATGTTTGACAACAACAAAGAATATGAAATGGAGACGCTGGAGGCCAGCAGAAGGTGGCTGGAACAGATAGCCAGTGCAGGTCTTCTCCTTCATTTCCAGTCCCTGCTCTCGCCTAACCTGGTAAGACTCCTCACGTAGCATGCTTGGTCACAGCCTGTGTTTGTTCCCTGAACCAGGGGCACGGTTAAACAGTCTTATAAATGTGATTTTCTGTGTCCTTTGTGCTTGGCTTGTTACTTAATTAGCTGCTATTTGGAAAATTTGCGATTTAGATAATTACAGATACGGGAAGTGTTTGTTTGTGATATGGGAAATATGTTTTCCACAAAGACAGTATTATGTTTGTTTTGAGTTAGCAGATAATGAGTTTACCCTTGACTCCCCACTGCTATCGTAGCTGTTTCCTAGGAGTGAATGTAGTATTAAGTGATAACCAGAACTTCAGGTTCCAATAAGCAGCAATGCAAGATAAATAAAATACCTGGTTTGGATACTTTTATCACCCCCTCCCCCCAAAAAAAATAGGTCTGTAGTAGTTGAAGGACTAGACATGCTAGTCTGTTTTGCTCCTGTCGTAGGGCAAATCCTCGTAGCCTGTCGGGGTAATTGGAAATCTGCTGTTTCTTCATAAGGCTTGGCAAAGAGCCATGGCTTAAGAAACAATTAAAAAAAGGGACATGGCTTTGTAGTCCTCTAATCCCCAGTTATCCAAAGTGCTGCTTCAGCTATTTAACCTGCTTCTCACACTAGACTGGTTCCTGCTAACCTGAAGAACTGTGAAGCAGTCTGCGCGGTCTGCTCCGTGGCAGTCTTCTCAACCTCTGGAGTTGCTCACTGAGAATAACTGATTTGGTACATCCTACTGTATAAGAAGTCCACGCAAATAACAAACGATGTTCCTAGTATCAAAGGTCTTCTTTCCTTGCCTTGTCTATCTCGGCAGCAAATTGCTGACAAGTTGACCTGATAAACTTTAGAAGCAGAAGAGATCAATAAAAAGAAAGGTATTTCTAAATGACAATCATAAAGTATTAGTCTATGATATTGTCGGAGAGCATTGACTTGAGCTGGTGTGAGCAACTACCTCACAGGTAGTTGAGGTACCTGTGTGGGCTTGCGTGGGACGGTATGTCAGGACAACGTGTGCAGCTTAAAAACAGATAAAGTCAGTGCCTGAGAGAAGCAGGAAGGCTTTTTGTCCACATGAGGAGTATGTGAAGAAAGCACTGGTCGGGGGAGTTTGGGCTCATGTCTTGAGTCTTGGATGCTTTTTAGCACCACGCAGCACCAACATGTCCTGGTGCTGGAGTCCTCAGAGTTCAAGAGCAAATTCAGTTGGTGCCTGTCCTATGTTTTTCTATGTGGTTAGTTGTCATGTTATCACAAAACAACTGTTGTCTTTACAGCACTGAATACTTCTGTTTTTTCTTTCAAGATTGTAGAGGTTTCCTTTGTAGTGAAAATGCATGCTACTTAGCCATTTTCATGTAATCAGACACCAGCAGTATGCATTGTCGAAAATAAAATTAGTCTCTTCTAACTGTTCTTAACCAAGGGAAAAGTATTGGAAGGCAACTTTTTCAATACCTTCTCAGCCCTATTTTGCTTACAAATGATCCATGTTATTTTAAACAAGGGTATTTGAAGGAAATTACACTCATTATGGCCAGAGTTCAGTAAAGAATGAGCAGTTGTGCAAAGATTTCCCATGTCACTGAATGGTTTTCAGACTATTCTGCTGATAAAACTGCTCTGTCCGTAGAGATTTCATAAATTGAACCAGGAGACAAAATATTTCTAGCAGCTTTGCGTTTTCATAAATACAAGGGGGAATGCTCTTTCACTATATAGATCAGGGAAAATCATGGGTGGTTTTTTTTTTTCCTTTCTATAATTCAGTAAGCTATAGTTTATTCTCATTTTATAGGCAGCTATTTTATTATTCTTTGCCTTCCTACTGTTTCAGTTCTTAGAGGAGGAAAAATGCATGCCTCAGATTTCCATTTGGCTCTTGCTAACTTAAGGTGCTAGGGGAGGGTTGTATAAAGAATAGAATTACTTTAAGTGATTATTGATTTCTGCTATAATTGCTCTGCATATTTAACTCAAGATAACCATACTTGTAGATTACTATTTTCCTTTTTAAAGGTTCAGTAAAGTATCCTAAGAAGTTAGTAATTTACTTCCTGAAGCTTTTTTGGTAAATTAGTCTGGATCTCTTTAGCTATCTCTTTAGCTCAGGAGTACACAGAGCGAACCATAGGTGCAAATCAGAATATTGGCATATCTACATACTTGATTTGCATCTAGGGTTTTGTAGGTGAAGGTGCAAATAGCTCTGAGCTGTACTCGTTCTGAGCTACTGGTTCAGTTATTGGTGCTTCGAGTGGACACGATGAACTCTCATCTGCTGTTTATACATGGAATCCTAGTTATGGCATTTTTTTAAAGAAAATTGCTAAAAAGAAGAACTTGTTTTTCACATTTCCCCTCTGTTAATTTACAAGCTAGACCTGGTATCAAGATAAGCTGTTGAAGTCTGGTATCTTACATAAAGAATAATTACAGTATTGTTTGATTAAAAGCCATGAGAAGTAACAGTAGCTATAAATTACCTATTAATTTACTATGTGAAACGATAACATTCATTCTAATAATCTTGGACTGGTAATAACAGGGAAAGTGCCAATAGAAACAAAGATATTTACATTATCTAGGAGTTAATTAGGTTATACACTGCATCAGTGAAAAGTTGTGCAACATTCTGTAGTTACTTTTATGTTCTGCTCTCATGTTATTTTTGGTAGGGGAAACATCTGGCTGAAATGACCATTTCTTTTTTTTTTTTGCCTTTTTTAGGCTGACGAGCAAGCCATGCTAGAAGATACACTGGTTGCACTGTTTGACTTGGAAAAATTGTAGAGGTTTCCTTTGTAGTGAAAATGCATGCTACTTAGCCATTTTCATGTAATCAGACACCAGCAGTATGCATTGTCGAAAATAAAATTAGTCTCTTCTAACTGTTCTTAACCAAGGGAAAAGTATTGGAAGGCAACTTTTTCAATACCTTCTCAGCCCTATTTTGCTTACAAATGATCCATGTTATTTTAAACAAGGGTATTTGAAGGAAATTACACTCATTATGGCCAGAGTTCAGTAAAGAATGAGCAGTTGTGCAAAGATTTCCCATGTCACTGAATGGTTTTCAGACTGTTCTGCTGATAAAACTGCTCTGTCTGTAGAGATTTCATAAATTGAACCAGGAGACAAAATATTTCTAGCAGCTTTGCGTTTTCATAAATACAAGGGGGAATGCTCTTTCACTACATAGATCAGGGAAAATCATGGGTGGTTTTTTTTTTTCCTTTCTATAATTCAGTAAGCTATAGTTTATTCTCATTTTATAGGCAGCTATTTTATTATTCTTTGCCTTCCTACTGTTTCAGTTCTTAGAGGAGGAAAAATGCATGCCTCAGATTTCCATTTGGCTCTTGCTAACTTAAGGTGCTAGGGGAGGGTTGTATAAAGAATAGAATTACTTTAAGTGATTATTGATTTCTGCTATAATTGCTCTGCATATTTAACTCAAGATAACCATACTTGTAGATTACTATTTTCCTTTTTAAAGGTTCAGTAAAGTATCCTAAGAAGTTAGTAATTTACTTCCTGAAGCTTTTTTGGTAAATTAGTCTGGATCTCTTTAGCTATCTCTTTAGCTCAGGAGTACACAGAGCGAACCATAGGTGCAAATCAGAATATTGGCATATCTACATACTTGATTTGCATCTAGGGTTTTGTAGGTGAAGGTGCAAATAGCTCTGAGCTGTACTCGTTCTGAGCTACTGGTTCAGTTATTGGTGCTTCGAGTGGACACGATGAACTCTCATCTGCTGTTTATACATGGAATCCTAGTTATGGCATTTTTTTAAAGAAAATTGCTAAAAAGAAGAACTTGTTTTTCACATTTCCCCTCTGTTAATTTACAAGCTAGACCTGGTATCAAGATAAGCTGTTGAAGTCTGGTATCTTACATAAAGAATAATTACAGTATTGTTTGATTAAAAGCCATGAGAAGTAACAGAAGCTATAAATTACCTATTAATTTACTATGTGAAACGATAACATTCATTCTAATAATCTTGGACTGGTAATAACAGGGAAAGTGCCAATAGAAACAAAGATATTTACACAGTCATCCTGACTGTGGTTACAGAAGACAAGGAACTGGCAAATTTGTTTTTTCCATTTATGGTTCTGCATAATCACTAAAAGAAAAAAAAGTCTTTTTCCTATTACCAAAAAAAGTGAAAAATGTTCCTTTGGAATCTTTTCCATTTAGGTATAAAATAATTTATGCACACAGTGTAAAAACTACATAATAATATTATTAATGCAAATCACTAAATTTTATTGTTATTGCTTTCAACTTGGAGAATTATGTATGGAAACGATACTTAAGCAGGAAATACATACGAAGCTGAAATTGAATTAAACTGACTTCCTCTGAGAGATTTGGCTAAATGGAAAATTTTCGTCAGCTTTTCCTAATGGTCATTACATGTTAATCATCTGGCATAATACACACAACGTATGTTGGGGAATCACTGTAACTGCAAAATGATACTGCTAGTTGCCCTGAACTCTACACCAATTGATGTATTATGACATTTAGCTCGTCAAAGTGTAATGAAATGTGCTCTTACAGTTTTATATATTCTACCGTAATACATTTGTTTTCTCAGTTGAGTCCTGATTTTTAATAATAATTTAATGAATATGCTGGTAGCTACTGTACATATACTTGTGTTCTGTCCCACACAAATCTGAGGAGACTTTATATATCACAGTGACGTTATACATCGTGCACCTGAGGAAGGCATGTGAAATACGGTTAAAGGTATCCTTCCAATGATTTCAAACTATATGCTGTACATAGATGTTTCTTCAAATTTACAGGGAATACGAGTAGGATGTCTCCAGCTACATTATTTTTGCTGTCATTGACAGGCTGGCAAAGATGACAGTCGCTGCTTTTCTGTTCATCTACTTCCTGATAATGGATAGGCCAAAAGTGACTACAGCAATACCGAGTATAATGTAAAATACTGCATGTATTAGTTTTGTGTCTGCAGTGATTTTTATCTAATGGTGTGAATTTTGGGTGTAATGGTTTCTGGAAAAGGATGTGTCATTGCTTTTAATGAAATAGTAACACTGACTGTATTCTTAGATGTACCAATCACATACCAAGCAGAAGGAAGCCGGCAAACCCTGAAGGTTTACTTCTACCTTGATAGTTACCATTTTGAACAGCTTCCTCAAAGGCTGAAGAATGGAGGGGGATTTAAAATCCACCCAGTACTTTTTTCACAAGGTAACTGGAGTTTTAATTCCACCACCCCCACCCCCCAATTCTTTCACATAATATTTAACTCTCTTTAAAACCCTACTTACTCACTCTGATTTAAATGCTTTGTAACTATAAGGGCACAATGCTTATATTTAAATGTTGTTTAATGTGGGCATTTAATGAGAACTTTGAATTAAAATGTGAATTTAAGAAATGCTGAGATTTGTGATAAAAAAAATAGAGGCACGGGTATACATTTCTAAGTTTATACCTGTTATATAATTCCAACACCGAAGAATGAATCCTCTTTTATCAATATTGTTTTGTTCTTTGTAGACATCAGTGGACAATAGTCAGACCATGAAACTTGCTTTTAAAAGTGTTTTGCATTCCAAATGCTATCGTAATCTTTTCCCGTTACTTCAAATTTAAGGCCTAAATTGTTATCCCCTGAGAATTCTGTCTCTTTAAAATGTTACGAAGACTTAAATAACGTTTCCAGGCTTTTGTAGTTATGACACTGCAAATGTTACCGAAGTGATGAATGGTGGCGCTGATGCTCAGACTGTTCATAAATTGCAGGCAGCCTGCATTAGCTGCAGTGTCATTACAGTCATCAGGAGCATGGAGTTTGACTCACTGAAATGGTGAATGCGAGGTGCCGATTGCCTTGAGCCGCCTTTGATTTCAGAGGGAGCTGAAAGTACTCCATACCTTGTGAAAGGCTTCCAGGGTCTATGTGGAATAGGCAGAAGTCAGGCATACAAATGAAGGTTTCGAGGAGGGTTTGGTCTCTGATAGATAAGGAGGATGTAAAAGGAAATAGCAAACAGTAAAGATACATGAAGAAATAGTCAAGCTTACTGTAAACTTAAAACACACAATTTTTTAAAAATAAGATCCCTGAAGCCTGATTTTTAAACAAACTAATAAAGACAGACTTCAGTGGATTTCTTTTGAACAGATTGATTTCAGTCATAGGGGAAAATGAGAACACTGAGCAGGAGACACATTTCAGTGGAGCAGGCAAAAAGGTACATGAAAGAGAACAGAAAATACCTTCGTTCAGATGAAATCCTGGAAATACTATTTTTTTTTTTTTAGATTCAGGAGGGGATTCAGTGTGCTACAGACTTTATTTTGCAGGATTTTTTCCCTTTCTGTTTCTAGAAGCCAAAAATATTTGAGTCTCAGGATAAGCATCTTCACAGTCAGCTAAAGGAAAAGGGCAAAGATTCATTCAAGTGTTACACCTGCTTAATAATTTTCAGTAATCTAGAAGATTTCTTCTTTCTTTATCATACCAAATTTCTTTAATTTTCAAGGATCCCCCTCCAAAATAGTCTGTTAGACTCCAAGAATAAGAAGTCCTGGATAAGAAGTTAAATCCTAGTGTTTAAATCATTATTTTGTTTTTTTTTCCCTCATTAATGAGTGAATTAGGATTCTATTTTTTACTTCTTTCCTATGAGGTTTGGCTGAGCTGCCATCAAACTAACTCAGTAGATCCCCATCTTTACCTGAAATTTATTAGCGACAAATGTAGAAATCTTCTGTAAGTTCCTCTGTGAAGTGAATTCTTGCTTCCCAAGCTTAACAGAGCTAAGCCATTTCTTGCCTAAAATACAATAGTTTATGATGTTTTCAAATGCAACATTTAGAAAATCATGATTTTGGAATACTTTATCAAAGGCACAAGTCAGTGCACATGAGTTTATTTATCTCTGTGTTGCTCTATTCTGTGTTGCATAGCTCCGTGCCTAAAATTACAAGTCTATATATTTGCAGGATTGCAGGACCGTAGACATTTTTAAAAGTTTTTACATGTTTACCCAGGCTATATTATGTATCCCTCCACTTGTAAAAACAGTTTTGTGCAACCATGTACTTGTTGTATACATTCAAAAGGATCCTGATTTTCAGGATTGGTGTCTGAGAATGTTGAGATATTGCTCTCGGCATTCAGATTTCTCTATTTCCTATGTTAGAATTGAGATCTCAGCAATAACTAAGCTTAATTAAAATGCACTTTATTTAAAATTAAAATTCAATTTATTTAAAATTGCTACTTAGTGTCTTAATTATGTAGGGTTTTTTATCAAGTAGGATCTTGAAAACACCCAAGGACAGAAACTGCACAACCTCTTGGGTAACCTATTCCTCTACTTGACTGCCCTAATGGTGAAAAAGTGTTTTCTTTCTATTGAGTTGAAGCATCTCTTGTTTCAATTTATGTCCATTGCATCTTGTTCTGCCAGCATGCACCATTGTGAAGAGCCTGGTTCTGTCTTCTCGTTGACCTCCTGGTAGCTAATGGCACCTGGCTAGTAGGTCCCCCCCAAAGCCACCACTTGTACAGGCTCTCCTCACAGAGTGTGTGCTCCACCCCATGACCATCTTGGTGGCCCTCTACTCAACATTTTCCAGTTGATCAACAACTTTCCTGTACTGTGGGGCCCAAAACTAGACACAGTATTCAAGATGCTATCTAATGACTGTTGAGTAAAGTGAGGACAAGCACTTCTTTCAGTCTACTTGCCATGCTTATCTTAATAGTTTTGGATGCTCTTGGCCTTCTTGGTTGCCAGAGAACACTGGAGGCTCATGTTCAGCTTGCTGTCTAACATGACCCCGAGGTCCTTCTCAGCAGGCTCTACCTTTGCAGGTGCAGGACTTGACATTTGTCGTTGTTCAGTTTCACAAGGTTCCTGCTGGCCCATTCCTCCAGCCTGACTAGGTCCCTGTCCAGGTGGCCCTGCACTTCAGTATATCCACTGCTTCTCCCAATTTGGTGTTAGCTGCAAACTTGACTTACCTCCTCCAGGTCAGTGATAAAGACGTTGAACAACATAGATCCCTGTGGTATTCTGCTTGTAATGGGCTCCTAGGTAGACCATGTCCCATTAGCTACTACCCTTTGAGCCTACCCATCCTTCCAGGTTCTTTTCCCATTCAGTTGTCTATGCATTCAGACCATAATATCCTAACTTGGATTCAAGAATACCATAGAAGACATGTTTGTAAGGAAAGCTTCCTTACAAAAGAGCTTCCTAATATATTAGGTAGAAAAACGTTAAACTCTTCAAAAAGGTGAGAGCCAAAGCACGCACTGTGGGATTCCCTGCCAGCACCCATGAGCATGGCCCCCGCAGTGCCTGTAGAGGTAGAACTGTGTGCTCAGCCACTCTCGACAGATGACTGAGTTTCCAGGTTGGGTAATCTAGTTGGATAAAACCAACTCTGTTTGCACTAACATGCTATTATAAATGGAGTTCAGCGGATATTTTTGTGTGGGCTTTCTGGTGTGACTTAGCACCAAGGAAGTTAAGAGCAAGTCTGACTGTTGAAATTTAATATTTTTCTCACAGAAGTAGAATTACAAACTCTGAAAGCACAGAAGGGGAATGTAATTTGCATGTTCTTTCACAATGAATGAATTATTTATTAACTGGTCATATTAAGCAGTACAAGCAGAATTAATATTCTGTGTGCAGCTGAAGCTGTAAGATGGCAGCATGTTTCCATCATGCAGAACTCTGCTTAGTGCTTGCATTTTCTGATAGGGTGATGAATTCTTAGAATGTGTATGGATTATTAAAGTGGCAATATTTCTAATTGTAAAATCTTTAATGCTTCTCCCCCCAAAAAACTGTTTCACCAAGAGCCTGTGTTTTATGTTATAATAAATTTAACCTCTTAATGTGAAGATCTTGATTTTTCCAGTCCAAATTTTCCTGAGAACCTTTCAAACACTTGATTTGACTTGGCTAAAGAAAAGGTTAAACTTCCCTGAGTATCTAAATTAAAGGGGCTGGGGGAATGTTCTTTTTTTTCTTTCTTCTTTTGAAAACTATTGCTAGGAAGAGCATCCCAAAATGGAATGGTAGTGTGTTCATTTTTTTCACCTTTTAATTTCTGTGTGGTGATCGTATGAGAAGGACATACGATTCTTCCTTTAATGGAAGTCTTTGTTTAGTTCCTGAGTTCTTGTAGCAATGTTCATCCTCGCTTTGGTGAAGTGAATACAACAAAGGTGGTCATAGTCAAGTATTTCACTTTAGAAACTCACCTGATCCCTGATAAGGAGCTTATAGGGCATTTTCAGAGATCCAGAGAAGTTTGCTTTATTTGATCCAGAAGAAGGCATTCACATTATCAGTGGGAATAACTAGAGGTTCAAGTGCTCCACATCTCCCAAAATCGGGCTTCGTAAGAAGTTGTTAGGTCCCCCTCTGTGAACGTAGCTGGTACATTAATCCTTTCTTTCCTCTACCCCAGCTCATTCTACTGTTTTCTTCCAGGATATATCAGAACTAAAAACCACATTTACATTCACAGGGCAGGAGTACTATAATTAGAGCAACGGGACTCAAACTAGTGCTCTCCTTTATATTTTCCACAGGACAAGAAATATAATTTTTCTTGTAAATGAAATCTTAAAGAGAGATCTGTATGAATTTTTATGACATACGGAAACAGCTCAGCAATCCACAGTGGGGTCACAGCCTCAAGGTTAAAAAGTGATTCACTAGAGTGTGAACAAAGCTACAAAGAAGGCGAATACTAAATATTTAATACTGATTTTTCTCTTCTCCATTCTCCTTTCTCTTTTCACAGCATTGGAGAGCATGGAAGGATATTATTACAGAGACAGTGTCTCAGTAGAAGAATTTCAAGCTCAGATTAATGCAGCCTCACTAGAAAAAGTCAAGCAGTATAACCAGAAACTACGGTGGGTAATAAACCAACATTCCTGAGATTAGTTTACCAAGTTCTGCTTTTCAACTCAGTTTCTATGTCACATCTTTAAACTGAAGTGCTTTGTATGGTCGTTGTTTTTTGGTGCATGATTGAATAAGATCCAAGATTCATGGTTCTGACTTTTTTGACTTCTGCACTGTTAAGTTACTTTTAAAAAAAATTGTTTTCCCATGAAAGCAATAGCTGTAATTGCCTCCAGGTTGTTGTACTAATGTGTATAGAAAAGGAAATGTCTACTTGATCACAAATGGAGTATCGGAATTGCTAAACGTTATGATCTGATTTTGTAGACAATATTTACCAAATTTCTACAGAACAGGACTTAAAAAATAGTGTTGTTTTCCTCAAAGCTGAGCATCTTCCTCCCCACCCCCCACCACACCAATGGGAATATAAAGATATTTGGATACTTGCATCAGCTTCGGGTATGGGTTACGGAGTGCATACTTGCCAGTACGTGTAAAGATTATGCAGCTATGTATTTCAGTAGGTATTTCATTAAGAAGTTGCACATAAAGACAGAATTTCTGGTATACAAAATAATCTATTAGTTATGAAGTAAAATAATGAAGATGTGTACGTAGGCCACTCTTGCATCTCACTGTATCTGTGAAAAAAGCCTGTTTGAGTACACTTATTTGCATGAGTTGAAGAAAAAGAGTGCAAAGAACTGCAGTAAAATCACATCTATTCACTTTTAAAATTCTTGAATCAGATGGAAACACTGTCATATCACTAGAACTGTTAGGCAGCTTTTAAAAGCAGCAGAGAACAGGAGTTAAAAAAAGAGGTTAAGGACAGTGGAGAAGGGGCAAAAGGATAAATGAGGGTCTCTTTTTCCAATTCCTTCACCTGTTGGCCCACTCCTGTCTTTGGAGGGTTTTCTTCATGGATCTTGCAAAAGTATTTCTCTAATGTGTTATCAAAGCAGTGGACTTCCTAGATTCTGTTTCAATCTAAGCAGTACTATAGCAAAAGTGATTTTAAAGCCAGTTGTATTCAGTGAGTACTGTATATTTCAATTTTTTGTGACATCTGTGTCAGTGCACTTCTGTGTTAATAACAAACATAGTATTTATTTAGTCTGTTTTCCACTGTCTTGTATGAGTGCTTCCTATTTGGGAAAAAAGTTCCTCCTGAGTATTTATTTGACAAGGCTTATGTTATAAATCAGTTTTACAGAAAGCTTTCATCATGCCAGTACTTGGCCTAGATGAAGTCAGCTAGTGTTGGAAGGAGATTTCTATCAGTTGGACAAGGCAAGACTTTTTGAGCTGTTTTTTCTATGAATAGGCCCAATTTAGCCCCCATGAAAATCCTTAAAAGAAATTCTTCCTGACTTTATGCTCTAGTGTTCCCTGACCTTGCTTACCTCGTGTGTTAGGGCTTCCATTCATGCTGTGGCTCTAATGAGGTACATTCCTCTTCTGGTGTTGTGACTCACAGCTCTGATCAGTTGCTAACCTCCAAGGCCTAGTTTTGCAAGAAGTTACTATGAAAAAGTTAGGATTCAACAAAAATTACTATGGGTAGCTCTGTCCAGTCACACGAATTGGAAAATTTTGGATTTTTTTCCAGCCATCTAATGTCTGATGAAAACATTCAGTAATTGGGGTTTTTTTTTTTTGCTTTCTGCTGGACTCAACCCATTTCTTAAATGAGGCACTAACAGCTTTAGGAATTCACTGACCTAACGTGAAGAGGAAAACCAGAAAAGCAGATGCTTCATTCTTGTTCTGCCATTTGCTAGCCTGTGTAGGTGTTTGGCCAGGAGAATCTAATAAAGTAACTACAGCAGCAAAAGATATTAACATTTGGATAATTGCTCTAAAGAAGAACAGAAAAGTGAAATTGAATATTCCCTGGAAACATACTCAAGTGCAATAATACTATCTTAAACTTTTCACGTGGAAGAAATCCTCTGTGCAGAACCACCTAATCAGTAATAAAATAAGTCATTCAAGACACAATCCATAAACCATTCTTTCTCCATAGAAAAGGAATGCATTGCTTGCTTGTGAAATGACTATCATAATCTCTTCATCGCTACAGCAGCAGAAAGCAAATGGGAGCAACAGCAAAGGAAAAACTAGTGGGAGAAGAGGATGGGGACTAGTCAGAATGAAACCACTGGTTGGCAGTGACACTGCAGCCGAGCTGTCCGTTGATGAGAACTCTTGATACAAGTGCAGCTTCTCTTATTCCTGACGTGTTTAGATAATAATGCTCTAATAATGTGAAACAGATGAGACCACTTTGTTGTGTATGGTCCCACTTACAAACAGAGATGTTGGCCTAACTTAGGATGTACCTAAGCCGGACAGTAAAATTAAAAATGAGTAGTAACTTTGCTCAGCTACCTCTTAAGTTCTTGTGGTGAAGTCTTGTTAAAGTTTGAGTACGTAGAACACTTTTGAGGAATGTGGTGTCTTTTGGGTGACAAATCTGATACGATGTGTGCCTTAAAAGAATTCATTTACAAATTATTTGAATGAATCAAAAGATATATTAGTAAATTTTTAGTGGATTTCAGGAAGGATAACCTTTATCCATCATATAAAGTCAAGAAGCTGAACCCTTGCTTTTATTGCAAAATTCATTCATAACTATGGAACTGTGACCAGCTTTTCCACAGTATCAGGAGTGATACAATAAATCCAGGTGCAAAATTGTCCTTCTTGACACTGATTTGAGCATCATAAGAGCTTCTGTCTTCCATGGTTCTTGCTTTGGGGCTTTTGCAAATATTACCTCAACTATGAAATAGTAATGATAAGATTATCATTTTTATGAGAATGCATGAAAGACGGTTGAAAATCAGTTTTAGAATTTCATGCTTATGTGGAATGGAGGGAATGTCCCTCTATCTTCTGTAATAGACTTAACCCTAGCTATTTGAATCTAATTAATAATATAAGGGAACTTTTATTCTAAGGCCAGCTAAAGTTGAGTTTTTCTACAATTCCTGAGGCAACATCCCTTACCCCAGCAATACGTAGGAAGTCCTTTATCGGAATAAAGATTTTTTTTTTTTTTTAAAAACAACCAATACCTCATTTAGGAAATTTCTGAAACTGCTGGGAAATCTTCAGCATCTGGCCCACAATTATTCTTAATTGTGCTGGATTTCTTTTTCACAGTCAGCCAGTTTGCACTTATTTTTATAGTTCACCAATTCTGTTTCTCTGACACTGATAAAGAAAAGAAAGTTATGCTCAAATTCTGTTTGCAAGTTGAGCTGGTGCTAGTAGTTGCCAGCAATGTAAATTTAACCTCATCAAATTGTTTGCTAATGAGAAACATGCAGTACAACCAAGTGAAAGTAATTAGGTCAGCAGAGATTTTAAAGATCTTTGTTACTATGTGTTTGATAGCTCAGCAGTTGTCTTCTAATTTAGAAGAAGACCAGAAAGAACCTGTGTATCTGACCTGTACAGAAGCTGATGTTAAGTGAACCCATTCTGTATTCTTCTGCCTCCTCCCACTTTTCCCCATCTTCCTCCTTTGGTACTTCTTGCCATTCGAATAGGCTTTTTCCATCCCGAACCAGTCCTTTTGCTTTTACAGATACCAGGGACCGTTTTGCTTCAACAGTGCAGGGCACAATGGTGTTTGTATCCATAACTACTACAAATGCTGATAGGAATAATGAAAACTCACAAATGCACTATATTTACTTGGGCTGGTTGGTTTAAGTATTCTCTTGCAAATCTTGAGTCATGTAATTGTAAAAGCATGAGGGTAAACTTTAATTGTAATTTTTGAAGCATTACTGCTTTAAGAATTATTTGGTTAAAATACATTCTGTCCTTTGAATATGATTTTCCTATTTGGTAAGGGTCTCTTTCCTGCAGAGTGAGATTCAGCATGGTAGTTATTATTACTTACGTTGCATAGAAATAAATCTTACAGTCATTACTGCGACCAAAAGATTGGTTGCAATGCAGACCTGATAGAAGCTAGGACAGACCCTGGCAGACAGGTTAGCTGAATGGCCGTAACTCAGCCAATCCTTGGACTGAATAGTGACTTTAAGATAAAACATTTAGCTGGATATGAGAACAGTTTTTTATCCTCAGAGAAATCAGATTTTGGATTAGCTTCCTGCAAGAAGGAAGCCATTTTTTAAAATGGACCTTGATGAGTGTAGGAATGACAACTTCTGTAATGTTTGTCCAAGTTGTCAGAGGTTTGGACTTGATGTCCCAGGATGGGACTTTCAGTCTATAGTAGTAAGGAAGCTTGCTCTTCCAGTCTTCCTTTCTCTGTATTTGAAATTTTATCCAATTAGTCTTTTTTTTTTTTGTCTGTGAATTCTCTTTCTGGGAAAAAATTGAGTCCCTCCTATGACCTTCTATTAAAATGCAGTTTTCTACAGGTGCTCCTGGTTAGCGTCTTAATCGAGAAATCCAGGCGCATCTGCTCTTTAAGAGTTTTTTCCTGGACGTGTCTGTGCGCACAAGGGATGCGTCTCAAAGGCAGAGAGGATGTTCAGGGCACAGGCCATTCAGTGGGGTGCAGGGCTGTGGCTGTACCAAGTATGCTTCCAGCTTCTAGGTCTCTGCAGTATGCTTCGCTGCACATTGTTGACTGCAAGAGCAAACTATGGTGGAATATAGGTGCCTAAAACTGCACATCAGTATACCTGTTTGGATTCCAGAACTGTCTGTGCAGATAATTTTTAGCTGATGAGAAATTAGTGAAATCACTGGCTTTTAGATTCATAAGCATTTTTAATGCCTCTTCAGCACCAATGCTTGCATTTAGATATCTAAACACCTTTAAAATTTGGTTCCCGATGTTATGGTGGCTTGGATTGGAATATTCAGAGGGAAATAAGTAAAATAATAGATGAAGGTGAGGTTAGGAGAGCTCTACTTTCCCATAACTTTTCTTTTATCCCCAGCATGGCACTTTCTTGTGACACCCCTGACTATATGATGACCCAGTTTTTCACTCCAAAGATAGGAT